TGATCGCTGGAAGAAGCACCACAGGATTCGTCAGCTAATGATCACAAGGAACAATTATCAGCTGATCATGCTGCAGCAGAGGAATATTTGGGTGAGTTTGCTGATTTGGTATCACATTATTCACCTCAGCAGATATATATAATGCTGATGAGACAGGTTTATAGTTTAAGGCTTTACTCACAAAAAGTCTAGCATCTGAAGAAGAAATGCATGCCCCAGGTTTTAAAATGAATAAGGAGCGAGTGACATTGATAGCTTATAGTAATGCTTCAGGAAATCACAAGCTACCTTTGATGGTGATTGGTAAATCAGTGAAGCTGAGAACTTTTAAAAATATCAACATTAACAATTTTCCAGTTCGTTATAAAAGTAAAAAAAAAAAGCTTGGATGAATGGATTGCTTTTCATTGAGTGGTTTTTTAATTGATTTGTCCCAGCAGTGAAATGTTTCAGCAATGAAAATGATTTGCCCCCTTGTGCCATTCTCCTTATAGACAATGCACTGTTCCACCCAGATGTTCTTAGTTGACCAGGAGATATAAAGGCAGCTTTCTTACCACCTAATGCAACACCATTATTACAGCCCATGGACCAGGAGATGTTACAGTCTATTAAGCTAGTATACAGAAAGAAATATCTTACGTTCTTGATAGAAGATAATTCCAATTCGCTTTCTTTACATGAGAAAATTAAACAAGTGAACTTAAAAGATGTTGTGTATTGGTTGCTGAGTTGTGGGAGAGAGTAACTGAGCAGTCCATAAAAAGATCATGTGGAAGTAATCATGGCTCTCTCTCAGCTTTGTTGATAGTTTTGATGAAAACAATGAGAGAACAATTGATTCAGCTAGTGCAGAAAATTCCCAGGTGCGAGGAAGCAATAGCATGTGACGTTAATGAATGGATTGAAGTGGATGGAATAGGTCAGGGGTCGGAATTAGCAGCTCGCGAGTTGCATGCGGCTCTTTGCATAGACGTTTGCAGCTCTTCGGACATAAACTCCAATTTCATTTCACCTCATTTCACCGCAGCCTTATAACTTATGAGTTTATGAGATAGAGCCGCCGAACAAACTTTCAACTTGTTCTCCTTCCGCACATGACCACACTCGCATTGATCAATATGAGTCGCATAAGAGTGGTAGCATTTGAAGCATATCTATATATATAACCCATTGAATGCGTGTCCGTCCATCCGTGTAACGTTATGCCGAAAACGGCCACTAGAGGCGCCCCTGTCGTGTGTCGTATTTTGCACATTTAAATTAACATGCGGCTCTCTGGTACTTTTGTTATCCTGTTTTCATGACAATTTGGCTCTTCTCACTTGACAAACTGCCGACCCCTGGAATAGGTCATGAAAACCTGTTGGATGAGGACATTGTGGCAGCTGTCACCCAAGAAGACTCCAAGCAGAATGATGACAGGAATGTTTACGAGGTCAGTGGTACTGCGGACCAACTTGTGTCACACACACACACGCAGCAGCGGCCTTTGACCTCGCTTTATGCTAATTGGAACAACATGCCAGCACTTCACCCACAGACTGCATGTTTATTAGGCAGTGGTGAAACATAGCATCTTCTAGTTGATTTTTGTTCCTGTTTTTGTGTGTAAATACTGTATAGATCTGCCATTTTAATAGGCCATGTCAAACATTGATTTTGCAGTGGTTGGCAAAGCTGCGACTGACCACCATCTCCAGCCAACGTGATGTCAGGGTCGAGTCTAACCACTTTTTCGGCTCAACGTGCTTTGTTTCGGATGTCAGGGTCGAGTCTAACTACTTTTTCGGCTCAACGTGCTTTGTTTCGGATGTCCATCTTGAGTGCTCCGACTTTTATCTTCACAATCTATGTTGTTATAACCTTATGTATATAGAGTTATAATTATCTGTAAATAAACTCGTGATAATGGCCTTTAGACTTTTTCTTCAATCCTAGAATATAAAATTTGATGCCATGACAATCCCATTCGTGGATGCGATCGGATTGACTGGTCTAACCGACTTTGACTATCGAGAGGAACCATTAATGGTCACCTCAGTTTATTGATTTTGTACATTATTAATACAGTACTACAATAAAATACAATTATTTTTTTTGTGGACTTCTAAATGTTTTTGTACCATTAATATCATTTAAATTTAAGTGAAAAATACAAAGAACGTATATTTTGTGAGCTAAAAAATTTCCTCTCCACCAATTGAAACATGTTTGGATTAGCAATGTTCAGCCTATCAGGACTCCACTGTACAGTACATACATAAATATATTAATTGGTTTTTGTGCATTTATACATAGACATGAAAAAATGTGCATAATAAGTAAATTGTATGATAATTAACTAAATCCAATTTTTTAAATATTTGAAGTTTAACTTGAATCATTTAATTTATTATAAATACAGTTGTCCCTCTATAGTCCGACGTTTTTTAATCCGACATGCTCAGTAGTCTGACGCACCTCCCGTCAAGGTACCCATTTCCGTTACGTGTCTGTTTGCACAGAAGCATGTCACGATGTGAATCTCCCCATCCAATTCTTACTCGATGACACACATTTCATGTGTTTTATGTGAGCAGTTCTGTTCGAACAGTTGGAGTAGAGAATATTGTAAGTTACTGCTAGCAAAACAATGCGAAATATGTAATTATTTTCGGTAATCCGGGCACTTTTGGTAATCTGACACACCTTTGGTCTCATACCTGTCGGATTATCAAGGGACAACTGTATTCATTTTTACAATGCATATAAAATATAATTATTGAAAGTCATTTTTATATTTGATCCAATTATTCAAAGTTATGTTACTAGCATTCTGCTGTTTTATTTGCTAACAACATTATGTTCTGAGAATGGTTTACTGCAATGATATAATACTTTATTGATGCTATTCAGAAAAGCATCAATAAAGTCATCTATGTACCAAAGCCTGTTACCGGTGTGAAAGTCAAATAAAAAATGAAAAGAACGAAAAAACAATACTTTACAAATATTTTCAAACCAGAAACAGTTTTTCAATCAGTTCAGGTAATGGCAAATTTCTGATGGAATGCAACTAAATAAGAACACAACAATTTGAAACTTTATTACATGTTTCATGATGTCGTCCTACTGGGCATACACGCACTAGCTGGTAGCACCTATCAAGATTTACAGGTCGTTGTCCACTATTGTTTGCCATGCTATGGACATAGTCAATTCCTCCTTGTGGTTGATACATGTGTCAGTGAGGCTATATCTGTAGATACAAATGGCCTCCAATCACCTTAGATGTGTATGGTGAGGTGAGGATGACCCTCACCTGGTTAAAGTCAGGCTCTATGTCTGGATTACTGGTGTAAACGGCGAGAGTGGTGATGATCTTGTGTGCTGTATGTCAGCGAGGTGCTCTTTCATTTTAATCCCCAAGGAGTGCTTAGTGAAGCTGATGTAGATATCACATCTGTGATCCCTAAGTGGGATGCTTTACACTCCGGGGAGTCTGTCCTGGTTGAGAACATCCTTTCTGTTATGAAGGATGTCAAATATGGTTGGCTATTTCCTGTATGCAATGCAAATGCAGTGCTTCTTGGCTATCTCAGTATATAGTGATTTGAGATATGGATTGTAAATAACTGGGATCCTTTCTTTATCTTCAGGTTGGTTTTTGCCATGGGAGTCGACTTGGACTGCTCATTGGGAGTGGTGGAATCTTTCGATCAATTTACGGGTGAGCTTGGGATACCAATGATCAGAGGCTATGCTATGTGTATGCCTCAGTTTGGCGTGGATAGCATGTTGAGTGGACAAGTGAGTGTACGCTCTCCTAATTAAGACATTATACACTGCAGTTTTATACTGATGTGGTTCACAAGACTCCACAGGTATGTAGATGGACTCTGATTCTAGCTTACGGTACACCTCGGTGTGGATTGCGACTCTTCAATTCTAATGTTAATGTCGAGGAAATGAACCTCTGCTTGATCAGTTTCCAGGGTCAAGTCATACTTGTTTTTGTCAATGGAGTCGACAAAGGCTGAGATGTCTGGTGTTGTTCTCCATAGAATGATTATGTCATCTATGTATCCAGTACCTCCTATATAAAAGGATGTTGGGGAGGTGGCAAGGGAGGATCTTGTACTCTAGTTGTCTTATTGCCATTTCACATAAGTCCCCTTAGACGGGGCTTCCTATCGAGACTTCTCTTCCCTGTGTGTAAACCTTACCATTGAACTGAAAAAACAAATTGTAGCATAATAAATATGCCATCTCTAGGACTTGTTGGTGTAAGCTGTCATCATTTACAATGTTGAATAGGAGATCCTTGAGGGCACAAAAGGTAGGTGGGAGTTGAATCATTGGGTATAGGGACTTAAGGTCCAGCACTGTGAGATATTGGGGAGGGGAGGTGATCTCACTGAGAAGGGTTATGAGGTCTACAGGTTACTCATGGTATAAGGGTACCCCTCCAAGTGGGGAGAGAGTAAGTTGTGTGTGAGCTTCTCAAGCTTGTGTGTCAGTGCTCTAGCTTTATCAAAAACAGGGTGTAGTTGTTGTCTCTGTTTATGAGTCTTAGCAAATGCAAAAAGCCTAGGTGTATCGGGGGAGTCAACTAGAATATTTCCTAGTATGAGATGTTTAGTTAATTTGGTATTGGCAAAGTGCTTAATCCTCGAATGTAATTTTCCACCATACTGTTGTCCACGATGTCACATTGGAGTATGACATACTCCAATAACAGCCATTCATAAGTATTGTGCCACACGAGGACCAGAGATTTGGTCTTGTTAGCTTGGATTTTGATCTGAAAATGATTAATAGGATACAAAATATTATTATTGGATTGTATAAAATGCATATAAAATAATCAATAAAGTATTGTACAATTGCAGTAAACTATTCTCAGAACATAATGTTGTTAGCAAATAAAACAGTAGAATGCTAGTAACATAACTTAAATGGAAAATCTTTTAGTTTTGAAGATTTTAATTTATGTTTTGTCTGTATTTCTCTTTTAGAAATAGTTGATTCATTAATTAAAAGAGTACACGAGGAAATATTACTTCACACAGTACAAAAAGGTGAGTTTATAAAATATTTTAACTGTTAAATATTAAACATCTAACAACAGGATTTAATTATAAAAATAATGATTTTGTATGTTTTTTATTTTGAATATAAATAACTTACAATCTGGAACAACAAACAAGATAAAGACAAATATTTGGTATATATTCCAATTTATCAAAATTACTAATCAAATAATCTTAATCTTGAATAACAGAAATTAATTTATTTTTTATCTTTATTTAAATAGATTGTTATAATTAAAAATGAATTTTAGAAAGTTAAAGAATTTTACAAAATGTTAAGAGTTTGAAAATAAATTTCTATCTAAAAATGAATTAATTTATTGGTTAATATCTTTCAATTAGGCTTTCACTAAATTTTATTGTAATACAAAGGTTACAGTTTATTATTGGAATATTAATAAATTGTAATATTTATAATATTTTTACAGAAAGAAATGTTTTTTTTTTTTTACTGTTAAGTGTTTTAATAATAATGCTAACAAATAGACTTTTGTTGTGTCCAATGAGAGAAGTCAATGCCAATCTTTTATTTACAATATTCTAAAACAATAAGAAATAAAGTTTGAAAAAGTTAGAAGTTTTGTTAAATCAAAAACTTTATTCTTAAGTAAGATATTTTTAGTAAAATTTTTTGATTTCCTTTATGATCTGTTAATTAATTCAAAGTATACATTCATTCATTTTCATTTCATTTAGATTTATTAATGTAACAAGGTTACATGACCTGGCAAGATTTTAGGACAAATGTAGCAAATTGTCATCCCCCAAATTGTAGAGCCCCCTGTGCGAGCATAAAAGTCAAAAGGACCATACTTGTATGGGCGACCCTTTGCGAGATATAGCCCTCCAAAGATGCGACTATGTTATATCCAGTCACGTGACTCAGCACCCAAAAGGGACGGCGTTACATGGCCGAAATTTTTTTTCAGTTTTTCCCATCTCAGTGTTGTAAAAAAATGCGTGCGCTCCCATTCCTTAGCCCCTAGTGCATGTCTCCCCCCTCCTGTCCACGCCGCCACCGCTGTCTCCCCCTCACACGCGGCCGGCGGCCCGAGTCTTCCGCCTGCAGCCTTCTAGAGTCGCCATCTGTTGCCTGTAAATACAAATATCTATTATTATTACACCTCTTACCTCAGCCGGGGCTCAAATTCCAGTCCTGGCCGGCACCGATCCACTTCTCTCTGCACCGGCCCTCTAGGTTGCTCTGCCAGAAACACTTTGGAACTCATACTTGAGCCATGCTAGGCTGAGGAGCGCACTGCGCATGACGGGCCCTTCAGGCGGCCGCACAGATGCAGTGCACCATGCTGCGCGGCTCCCCTCGGTTGTGAAGTGGGAGCGGGCCTGCTGCATGGCCAACAGCTGGTTGGCCACAGGTCACGTGACCTACCCCCATCCTGAGGTTTCATAAGCCTTCAGGTTGCCTTCGGCCATTTTTGCTGCTGTTTGTTACCGCAATGGTTAAGAGTACAAGTCAGTAAATATTCAACAGTTGTGATATTCCAGTAAATATTCAATATTTGCGATATTCAAGGCAATGGAAGCGAACGCGCAAGAAGTAATGGTCGTTATTGGCAATTTTCGAAATCCGAAACGACTTCATTTACTTTACTTCTTCCCAATAGTAGAGTGTTTCCACAACGTACAAGGTGTAGTGTGGAGAAAGTAAACGAATTGGACAATTGTCACGAAACAATGATGAATGAAGAGATTAAAAGGGCGCTCCTGCAAGCTGTGTATCATCTGAATTGGGATTTCAGCATCAGCATTTCTCAGCGACAGCTTTCAATTCACTGGAAAGCGATTCAGGTAATTCGAGTATGATTTTTACGATATCATGGAACGAGTTTCCAAGCATCATGTAAAACATTCCGCTGCATCATTGAATGATGCTGTTACCTCACAGATGCTAAACTCGCTCCAAATTCTTGTAATATTATTCAGAAAAGTTTAGGGAAAGATTTGAGCAATACAAAATGTTCATATTCTGTTGCAAGATACGACACAAACTTCTGCCAAATATTCTGTTGCCACTAATAACAGAAGTTTGCTTGTGTTCGTGGAAAAAGGAAAAAAGAAAGAGCAGAATAAACAAACGTTTCGTAGAAACAAAACAAATCATTCGTTCACTGTTGATTTCCCGTTCGTCGAAAATAATCATTGGACAATTATGTAAGTATTCTCGAATGATGTGATCCGTATAAAATGCATGCCTGACCTCAATGAGTATGGATTTGGAACAGTTGCTGATGCTTCTACAAAACATATTGAGAAAATGGTTAAATCATAGAAGAAAAGTACGAAAAAGCATCACGTCATAAAGAAGAATGTTACTGTTTCAACCCGGAATGGTCTTCGAATCGAATGCTTGCACGATTTGGAAAGAGTTGTGGAAATTCACAGTTGTATTTTTCATGCGAACTTCTGTTATTAGTGGCAACAGAATGTTTGGCGGTGAAGGTTTACATGTGACGATTGACTGACGTTTCTGTCTTCATGACATATCTAGATCATCTATATACGTATGTTTTGGTGATATACCCGTGCACAAGGGCGACGAAGAGAAATGACGGGAAAGACGAACGCCCAGCCACAGCGAAGCTCTGGGTGTGTGTGTGTGTGTCTATATATATATATATATACAGTGGTGATATTCAGCGGGTTTGCACAGGTTCAGCCGAACCCGTTGTTAACATTTTCAAAGTTTTCCGAACCCGTTGTTAAACACACATAACATTTCTAGCGGTTTTGTTTCTTTTAAAAAATATATTAAAATATACGTATTATACTCTGTACACTACTAAACTAGAGCCTTATACTCCGTTCCCCTTGTACGCCGTTCGCATATAACCTCCATCGACTGTTTCAATCTCGACTGAAACGAGATTTAGGCTGCATACACACTAGGCATTTTTAAACGCGCGTTTTAAAGAACCAAGAGTTCTACTAAAGCACCCGAAAAACGCGCGTTTTAAGAAAAATCTATAAACGCGCGTTTAACGCGTGCTTGGCCAAAAGCGCGTGTTTGAGTATGTACGCCTATGTAGAACTCTTGGTTCTTTAAAACGCGCGTACACAGTACGCAGCCTTAATCGCGATCGACTCAAGAGAGTTCTTGAAACTAGGTCCAGTCATACCAGGGATCCCACAATCCCACGCGCGCGAGAAAATACAAGATGGCTGCGGAACACGTGTCGGGCTATCGACAGCGAAATAAAAAAGATATTGTATTTCGAGAAACGATGACATCTGTCTATTATTATAATAATTCCTAATGAGAAAATAAATGATTTAGAAAAGTTTTTTCTTGAGAAAAAGTCATAGGGAAAGCAGTTAACTCCTTGGGACTCTAGCAATTTTTGATATTAATGTAATTAAACATAAAAAATACTTAAAACTGAAAAAATGGTCGTTTTTGACATCAGAAATTAGCTTTAAATAACTTACCGAAGGAAAATTAGTGCACTACAACTTTAGAACGATGAATGAAATTTGATATCAAACTCCATTTAAAAAACAATTAAAAAGCAATTAAGCGTAAATCGTGCGTCATTAAAGGTAAATTAAAATCGCGATAAATTCTTTTCGCGCGGGAAAAAATTTTTGAAAAAATTTGGAGACTTAAAAAGCATTCCAAAAATCCAAAAAAACCAAAACTTTTTAGTGGGTCCAAACGCCCGAGTTTTATGTAACGCTATGTGACTTGCCCGAGATATCTCGGGCTTGGTGTTTAAGGTGTTTACAGAAAAATTTTCTGTTAGCGAACCCTTTGTTAAATATTTCGAATATCACCACTGTATATATATATATATACTGTACTGTACATATGGTGTGCGTTACCGAAGGATACTTGTACATGAAACCTGGATTATATGCGATTGTTTGAACAACATTGGGCAATCCCATCTTCGTCATTGTCGACCTCCTGGACATAGCCGAGGAGGAGGAAGCGGCGGTGGTGACCGGCGGCCTACCCCGTCCTCGCCTAAACAAGATCGGAAATGGGCTAGGTGTCGTCAGGTAGCGAGAGGAGGAGACTCTGCCGAAGGTGAGTGTAGAATTTGTTTTGTCGGCCTTTTCCATCGTCAGTTAGAATGTGTTAGAGATAGCGAAATAGAAGCATGCTTGGGTTAGATGGGAGCTGGATCTGTTTTCTTTCCATTGTCAGTTAGAATGTGATAGAGATAGCGAAATAGAAGCGCACTCGGTATAGAGCGGCAGCGGCGGTGGTGGAGAAAGTGTTGCCAAATTAGTGGTAATAATCGGGCTTTTCTTTGGTCTTTGCCAATGGAAGTGTCGTTAGAATATGGCTTGCTGCCTGTTACGCGATAGGCTTAGCAGAGAGAGAGAGAGAGCAAGGTGCGACTCCCCATGGCACTCCCCGGAAGTGGCGGTCGAAAGGTGGCAGTTCTCGTGTTTAGGGTGGTTTCGGAAGTGTCTAGTAGGTTCTAAAAAATGGCAAAAAATGCTATGGTTTCGAGATTTAGTTCCGAAAATTTTCAGTTTTGAATTTTACTCCATTTTTGAGGGTCTCAAATTTTCCACATAGTCATTTTCGGGGGGCCTATATCTCGCAAAGGGTCACCCGTAAGGGCATGGTTCCATTGACTTTTTTGTTCCTATCGATATGCTCTACAGCTCGATTCCAGTCTCAATTTGCTACATTTGTCCTAGAATTCTGCCCATGACCTGATGTCGCAAGTGCATAATCAGGTATTATAATACAATATATTTGTAAGTTTGTTTTACAGATATAAAATAACGTTAGTATTTTATATCTGTATCGTTGTAAAATTGCAGGCATATGTTTTGATTTTACATGACAATTCTTGATAATTAAGTACATTTGTTAATTTACAAACATAGATAGTAATAACATGGATAATACTATGTACTAACAGCAATTGGTTGACACATTGAAATTTGTAAGTCTTTTTACAAGAAGAGTGTTACTGATGTTTTTACATGCCGAGTTATATATATCAATACAAAGTATAATTAGAACATACCAGCTGATAAAGTAACAATAGTTTGCTGTAAAACAATTAACAATACTATATTAACAATTAAAAATTAAACATAAAAATCAAACCCGTGGCAAAGAAAGTGTCTAGAACAGCAATGTTCCAGTTGACAGGAAGTTTTTCAATAAAATTGAAGACAGTCTGCTCAATAAAGGACCACCATTTATTTCCGTTTTCCAGACATAATAAATGAGAAAATAAATAAATAAATAAATACTTAAATAAAGTAACACAACCATAAAAAGGGTCACAATTGCACCTATTTCTTTAAACCATCCCTTTTGCCTACTAATATATTTATATCATGCCCACTCTCCATGTTGCTGAGATTTTACTTGATTCTCTAGGGTTGATCACTTGTTCTACCTGGTTGGTCTTGTGTATTTGCCATGCCTCTGCACATTTGTGGTGTCTGTTGTCTTGAATCTTTTGTATTATTTTAGCATGTTCCCACTCTGCTGTAACATCTGTTGGGTCTGCTATAATGTACATCGCTAGTGCAGTGACTGGTTGCTCATTCCATATGTTTCTTTCACGTTCTTTTAATCTTTCTTTTAACAATCTCCCAGTGGCTCTGATGTAGTAAAGCTCTTTTTGCCACCTTTGTCTGGTTAGTCTTGTGCGTGGCAAATACACAAGACCAACCAGGTAGGACAAGCAATCAACTCTAGAGAATCAAGTAAAATCTCAGCGACATGGAGAGTGGGCATGATATAAATATATTAGTAGGCAAAAGGGACGGTTTAAAAAAATAAGTGCAATTGTGGCCCTTTTTATGGTTGTGTTACTTTATTTAAGTATTTATTTATTTATTTTTTATTTTCATTTATTATGTTTGTATATATTTTATTTATATGTTTGTACAGTACATGTTATTATTGCGTATATATTGTAATTTTATATTTACGAGATTGTGCACTAAAAAGTTCAAATTTAAAAAACATTCCAAAACAAATTACAAATTTTGTTGTATACATATCGAAAGCATTCGATTTTTGTTCTTGAAGAAGGTTATTAAAAATGACCGAATGCGTTTGAATAGATAACAAAACGGCTGCATATTAAAAGGTTTTGTTCAAGGTTTAATTGTTTATAGCTTTATTATTAATGCTTTTTTTATTCTCAGCAAATGAGATAAAATTGAGAAATCTAAAACTATAGTTTTCATGATGAATATGACTTCATTGATTTGGTTTTGAATATAATTTATAGTAATTTCCAGACTCAGAAATTTTTTAATATTTTAAATACAGTCGACCCCCTATAACACGGTAGATATGTTCTGGTTTTTATGAAATCCATTTTCTACGAGTCCTTAAATACATGAGCCAATCACAGCCTGGCACATATGCAGTTTATGGACTATGGCTGTTTGAAAAGTTTTCTTCTATAAAATTAACCAATTTCTAGACTAATTCCACTTAACATTTCCAACAGACGTATAATTTTTTGAGAATAATCCATATAAACTATACTATAAACAAAAAATTGTAAGATTACTTACCAAGTGTGCATTGTTCGACCACGCCATTGCTTAAGCTTGTTTTGTCGTGGAGGTTGTCATTGAATGGCGCTTGCGTGGTTCCTGATAAATTATTTTTTTTGCGAAAAATTTGCTGAACTTCGGAGACATCATTAATATAAATATAATTTTTATGGCTGTTAAATAATAAATTGTTTTTAGTAGGTCCGCTGCTCGTTTAAACTCAACGGTTTGTGCAATATCCACTATTGGTCTAGATTCGATCAATTCTGTTGCGACATGAGTTGGCAATGATGTTTTACTGAATTATATGAGTTTCTTTTAGCGTGTTTATACGAGTTTCTTTTAGCATGTTTATACGAATATGGTTGCAATTTTTTTGCCATCATATAGGAATCTAAACTATATGAACCCGTTTTATAGGGGTCTACTGTATTTTAAGCTGGCTTGACTTTTGAATGAACCCTTTTTGGTTTAAGTGGTAATTTAATATGAAATACAGCGTAGGGCCATTAAGCCACGGACCAGTAATCCGCGAATTTGCTTAAGCCGTGTAAAAAGCTTGGATCCCAATTTTTTCACACTATGGATCATATGGACCTGGACATGGTCTCTCAAACACTCAAGACAGGTGTTGACAGCTGTCATTTTGGCATTTCGAATGTCTGTGATTGACGTGCTATGCACTATCACGGATTAAATATTTAAATGCTGGCTTATAACTTCAAAGAGGTATTTATAGAAGATTAATCTTTTATTTATCAATAAACAATAAAATAACTTACAATGAAATTCAAATACAGTATTAATCTGTTTTATCCACATTGAGTGTCAGCATTATGGAGGCCACCATTGTAACTGATTCACACCTTACAATGCTACCAAGTTAATTCGCGGACCATCTAACCCATGGTTAAGCAGTTTGGACCCCAATCACCGCAGCTTAATGGCCCTACACTGTATTTATTAGAATCAATTAGCATGTGTAATTTTTCAGTTCTGAAAGAAATTGTTGATCTGTCAGTAAAAGCAGAAGCTGAATATAAGAGAGAAATGATTGCAAAACAAGTCTCAGGTGAAGGTAAATATAGTTTATATATATATAATTCAATATATAAAATTATATTTTAGTTGCTTTTCAAACTGTGAAGGAAAGTAAAAATAATGATTTTGTATGTTTTTTATTTTGAATATAAATAACTTACAATCTGGAACAACAAACAAGATAAAGACAAATATTTGGTATATATTTTTATTTAATTGTCTTGTTTTTGAGGCACTTAGATTGATTTATTAAGGAATCAAAACCTTATTGATAGAAAGATGTATCCTACAGATGTAGTTAATGTTTTACTTATTGGATATGATCAAAAGGAGTGATTTTGTTTCATAATAATATCTGGCACTGCTCATATCACTGCAGTGCTTTTCCGTGTTGCTTAGATTTCCAGCTTAGCACCATTGGACTTCTATTCTCTAAATTGAAAACACCTTTGGAGTTTTCAATTTAGAGAATAGAATGTCTTCAATCTGATGAAAATATTCAATAGAAGGCATACATTAACTATATCTGCAAGATATATTTTTCTATTACCAAAGCAGATCAAAAAATCTGTTAGATAAATGATCCAATATGACTACCAAAAAGTAAAATGAACATATATCTGTTTCTGTTCCATGTATACTTTGAGATATACACTCTCCTGAACCATAACTTATTCACATCTAAAATAAAAGATAGAGAATTTTTTTGATTTTCAGTCGTATATTAAATCCTGGTAATAATAATCAAATTTTTTTTCTGTTTAGTACTGGAACAAGTTATTGACTTGGTAGAGAAACAGCAGATTGTTTCTGATGGTAATTATGCAATTTATGTGTTTAAGAGTTTTTTATTGATGCTATTGTTAACATTAGTATACGAGGTATAGTTTAATTCATCAGTAATGTATTAATTGAAGCTTCTTATAGAATAAAATTATTATATAGTTTTTTGATTTTAGAAACAAACATTTAATTGATCAATATTTTATTAAGAAGAAATTTCTTTGCAGTTCTTGAAAATATTATTGATTCAGTTGAAAAGCATATTTCCATTTCTGAAGGTAAAATGAATATCAACAATATTTTTATCGATCTGACATTTTGAATTTATTATTGATTTTTTATTTTTAGTTCTTGAAAATATTATCAATTCAGTAGAAAATGAAATTTCAATATCTCAAGGTAATTTCAAATACTTTTTATTGTATGTGTGTTTTTTTTTTTTGTATCTGCCATCTTACTTTCAAATAGTTCTTTCTATTTGTTTCTAGTTTTATTAAACTTTACTTTTATGTCAACATAAAACATTTCTTTCAGATGTATTCAAATATCGTGTCTTAACAGACTTACATTAACAAAAAACTAAAAAGTGAAAAGTTTTTTGGAATTATTATATTTATTGTAAAATTGATTACAATAAAGATATTTAACTACATTCTGTCTAAAATGTTTTAGGATATGTGAAATATCAATAGAATTAGATTTAAAAAGTTTGTGATGATTGTTTTTACACATGGTTAAAAATATTATTTTTTTATTTGAATTTGATAAAATTTATTTTAGATCCAAATAATTTGAGATTCAGTATATCTTGAGATATTTTAGTGTATAGAATTAAATATCTTTAAAGTATTATAATCAATTTTAGAATAAATGCAATAAATTCAAAAAACTTATGTATTTTAGTTTACTTTTTGGTCATTGTCAGAGTGTTATAAGTGCATAATATTTGAATAAATCTGATTAGAAGTATGGCATTAGCAAACTATACATTGCAGAAGGATGCTGAAATTCAATAAACAGCAATCACATAGAGATCCTATAAAGTTAGTACAGAATTATAAATAGTGCTTGGCTTATACTAGCACAAAAATAATTTATATTAAAAAAAAGAAATGAAAAACGATTTTGGCTTTTGATGATACTGTGATAATCTATACAAAGGCAGAAATTAAAATCAAACTATTTTAAACATTCTCCTTCAAACCCATCTCTGAATGGCTAGTGATTCTTTCCTAGTTTTTCACTCAAACCTCTTGTTTCTTATGTAAAACTGTTATGTAAGTCTTACAAGGTAAGCATTTTGCAACTTTTAAGATGTTTTTCTAATGCATTTCATCAAAAATGAAAGAAGAAATGAAAAAAAATTGATTTTTTACTTAAAACCATGTGAGCTTTATAAAATATAAAACTTCTTTTATTACATTTTTCATAAACAATATCTTTTCCTAATAATTTTTGACATTATTCTGAAACAAAATATAAGCTTAATGTTTTCTTCATCGCTACAGTATAATCACTCAATTTTGTCAACCTTTTAATTTACATATGAACCATCTATTAAAATTGGTATATTTTCCATTATTGAATAAATTTTGCCAATTCCATTAATATTGAAGATATAATTTTTTAACTTCAATTCACTCATATTGAAGCAAATAAGGTTAATTTCAATGCCATGGTCCAGCTTAAAATTAACTAAAGTATATTGAAATTCAATAATTGTTTTTGTTCACCATTAAATTTCTGTAAAAAAATTACTGTATTAATTTTACTGAACAACAACAAAGACTAAAATGATGTAATAAATGGACCATTTTAAGAATTTAAATGTGGCTATCAAAGAAATACATGTTCCACTAATAAAAAATATTTATGTAGAATTGGAAATGTACAGACATATGATATTAGTAGATATTTCATTATTTTTATGTACTCAAAAAATGGGACACATTTCAGGGAGTCCCATTTTTTGAGTAAATTCCCGAAAAGTATTTTGACTTATCAATGTAAGCTTGATTTGCATCAAAATCTGCACTTTAAGGTGACTACACACAAGCCAGTAAACTGGACAATACTGGCTTGAGTGTAGTCACCTTAAAGTGCAGATACCTATTTTGTATTTGTGTAGCCTCCTTTAGAGATAAAAACTTACTTTTTCTTTCTGCAAACATTATATTATTTACATTTTTTGACACAGACTATAGACAGTTTCTCTTATCTTGCTTCTCTGTATTGCTTCAACCCATTCTTATGTCACTTGGTAAAGAAATAATTATTATTCTGTCTTTTGGTCTCGTAAATGAATTTTTAGGAGTTAAAATGTAACATTTTAAGAAACATTCTTCTCACATCTCAATAATTAGATTTGTAAGATTTATATATTTATTTATGTGTGCAATATCTAGAAATAAAAAAATAGTTTTAGATATGTGCCACCAAATACAAAATGCATATTTGATGTAGTTTCAACTCTGCCTTCTCTCAAATTGTACATAATTATTGTTTCCAGTTTTGCACTGTCATTTTCATGAAAATTCTATTTTGATAGATGTAAATGAAAATTTTTATCCATGTTATTTGAAATACTTCTGCTCAGAATCTGAATGATGATTTTCCTATGATACCAATTCTTCTTTTCCATCATTCTGATCTTCAACAAATTCTCCACTCTGCTCTGTTTGAAAGCTTATATATATTTACAGTTTGTTTTCATTTATGTAATTATCCTTACACATCAAAATACTGCAAAATACTGCTTCTATCAAGTAATATATTACTTGATAGAAAATATCAATAAATATGATAATATATTTATATATTTTTATCAAATATATGGATAATATCATAATATTCATTAAATAATGTATTTCTGTATCAAACAATGTTAGAATAAAAGTGAAAGATTGAGAAAAATAACTTACATAAGTGCAGTGGAACCTTGCTTAATGAGCATCTCTCATAACTAGTAATTTGCATAACAAGCAAGACAAATTGTAAAAAAATGACTTACTTAATGAGTGACATTTTGCATAATGAGTGACGAGAAAAGAGGAAGTTCTGAATTGTGCACATGTTACATCAGTCTGGTGTTTAGCACTCGTTCCCCTAGCATCTTAGTGTTGCTTATGATCACACATTTTTCCAAACTTGTGTTCAGACATAGAACATATAAATTTCAATAACCATAGCTTAACTCATTATATAATAAACACACCAAACAATATGCCTAATTCTTAGACTATGTAAAGGCTGTAATTAAATATTAGAAATTAAATAATTTGGCTAGAGGTAGTCAGTTATTCTGCCATCTCATATTAAATTTAATGACCAATTCCAAATTAAATTAAAATTGTTTTTGTTTTCTGCAAATCGAATTCACATTCCAGGTTGGTTCATTTCGTGCTAGAAGAAAAGATGAAAATGATTCATGTTCCTTAACAATGCATATTGTATAATTTTCTTTGAATAAACATTATACATAAAATAATGAGTATTTTTTCGGCATGGAATGCATTATCATATTTTACATTAATTTATATGGGAAAAATTGTTTCACTTAATGAGTACGATTCTGGAACGAATTATGCTCATTAATTAAGCAAGGTTCCGTTGTTGATACGTAATAACAGTTTAGATATCAAAATAGTAAAATGAAAGGAAACTGAGAGAATGCAGCAGTTTTTCTACATAAGATAGAAAGATATGGAGAGTATCACCATTCAACAAGTTTGATAATTCATTATCATTTTTTTGTTTTGTAGCAAAATTGCACTGCTATGCCCACTGCAAGGTCAATAAAACATCTCAAATCATATGAAATTTTTGTTAAAACAATATACTATTATTTACAAGGTGCAACAACAAAGTTTAGTGAATGGAAATGTTAATGTTAAGGTGAGTTAACAACACTTCAAAACCTAAAATCTAGTGAGAAGAATAAATGTTTTCAACATTTACAAAAGCTATCAGATTCTACTGCTAGAATGCAAATCAAACAAATGCATCACCATCATGTCTAAAATACTTGGAGATTCTTGAGATATGTGGGGCTATTTCTAGAGGAATGGCTATTGATAGCAGGGACACTGCTCTTGTCACATGCCTGAAGGGCAGTATTAGAGTGCATTTAGCAACCATGTAATGTTTTGTAAAACAGTTCAGTCATAGTATATATATTATGTTCATATCTTATTATTAAATATTGGCACTCCAGTTTTGGAGTATATTTTATTCTGACTTTTTGTTATTTATAAGCATTTAATCTTTTTGTATGTGTTGTGTTTTCTTTTGTAATTGTTTTTATTTTATAACTAGTTCCGGCACAGATGTTCATACACAACAAATGTTATTTAAATTTTGTTTTTGTTCAATTTGCATTCTACCAGTAGAACCTGAAGATGGCCTTTGTAAAGGTTGAGACTGTTCATTCTTCAATAAATGTTTTTGTACTTCTCACTGGATTTTACATTTAGAAGTGTTCTTATATTATATAAATCCAGTTTAGGATACGGTTTCTGTGTTAAGGTGAGTGATTTTGAAAGTGAAACTACACACAGAGTATGATCCTACACACAGAGATGTTGCACTAGCAAGTTGGGACTTGTTTTTGACTGGTTGAATCCTGTAGCTTGTGCACACGCACGATTACATTAGCTGTATATGTGAGGTTGTCATTTGCAAGAAATGTAGTAACGAATCAAGATTCTGCTTTAAGTTGGGTAAAACTTCATCAGAAACTCATGACATGCTGAAAACTATTTACGGAGATGAAGCAAAGACAAAAAAGTGTGTTTACAATTGGTTTAAACATTTCTGTGAAATTTGCAGACATTCCTGACATCCAGGCAAAAGTTACATCCATTACGAAGGTGATACTGAAAGATTTTTCTAAAGCTTTCTGGTATTTATACAAACGTTGTCAAAAGTGCATGGTGTGATAGGATTATTATTGTGAATGCCAGTAAAGTTTAGTTTTCCTTTTGCAGTTGCAATCATTTTTTTTTTTTTTTTTGGTCATTCACTTAACTCTGTTGTCATACCTTGTATAAAGGGTATAATTGTAGGATGTGTTTTAACCAAGTATTCAGATTATCTTCCATTTGAAATATATTTAGGATTCAGTTTCTTAAGAACAAAAATGTGTTGGAGGGAAAAGTTTAATAATATAAAATTTAATCAATTAATTAATTTTAGAAGAACCATAAGAACAGTTTTCTTTAACTTATAAAAATTATTTTATATTCACAAAAGGTGTGTGTGTGTTTATTAAATATGAGCCAAATGAGATTAAAGTTATACTTTCATTTCTGAATATCAATTATAAATAAATTGTTATTAATTTACAGAATTTTTAAAATTATATTTAATTATTTTTTTTAGTTCTTGAAAATGTCATTAATGTGGTAGAGGGACAAATAATCACATCCGAAGGTAATTTAAAAAGTAACCATATTTGTTAATCTTTTCTTTTAATTTAATACTACTTCTGGATTTTATAAAATAATTATAAAGAATTTAATAAGAACTTGTTTTTAATATTTTTGTAAGAACTTAATGCAATTTTAAAGTATTTTTTATTGAATGAAATGTTATATGTATGTAGAATAGAATTTCATTTTAATGGCTTATGGAACAATGGATTTCCTAGAATAATAGATCTTTTCTAGGTCCTGCCAAATTAATGTAATTTTACCTTTTTTACATTAATCTGTAATTCAGAATGATGGATTTTTTATAGCCCCGTCTACTTGAAAAATGTGACATAAACATTGCATTTTTCAATGCTTAAATAATATTTAGGTGAATCAAATTAAATAATAAAAGAGCAAGAAACTAATTGTAATAATATTTGGGTATTTCTGGTACTAAATTTAAAAAAATACACTGCATGTGGAACAATATACATGCATAATCATCACGGTTTACATTGCTAATGTTGCTCCCGTGCATCAACTTCCTCTCGTAACACATTGAATAGTGGCAGGAAGCTACTTTTGGTCCTTCAAGTCTTTCCAAGTCATAATGCCCTTTCTGATGAGTTTTAGCATAAACAAACAGGCTGTACAAGAAACGACATTGTTTATTTCAGATGGTTGTTGTACTCAATGGGCAGAAAAATGGCATCAAAACAAACCAAGATAGATGAAATTTTTTAACAAATTGTGAATCACATGTACTGTACTTTGCCTCTTTTTGTGCTTACAGTATATACAGTTTTTATCGGCTTTGTCATACATGTGTATGGTTTAATGTATGATCTTGTGACATGTGTTTCTGTAGAATAAAGAATAAAAATCTTAAGAGACTGAATAATTTCAAGTACAGTTATTTCTTATAAACAAGAGTTTAAAAACCAGAAATTTTTTGAATAATGGATAATTTCTCCAGGTGTATGGGAAATCCATTGTTTGTGATATAATGATTGTTGGAACAAAGGATGATTTTTGGTGGACCAAGTGATTCGTTAAAACAAGATTCTGCTGTATATACAGACATACACTATGTATTTTGGATTAGAAGCATATTTTGTATTTGTTTATAAGGTATAAGAAGTGATGCTTTTTTCTTGAAAAATGCAATAATAGTTTTTTAAAATGATTTTTAATACTATATATGATTTTAGTTATAAAATTTTAACTTCAATTTCATTTTTTTCAGTTTTCTATTTCTTAAACAAAAAGATATTTAATGGAGTAATATCTTAAAAATACAAAAATTCTTTATGTTCTAATACTTTTAAAAATACAAAAATTCTTTATGTTCTAATACTTTCTAACTGTTCATCATAGAGACAATTTTACTATAAAAGCAAATATAAAAAATAGAAGAGAGATTTCTACAGCAAACTACAATGCCATTTTTTTTCTAAAATCCTATAACCTTTTAATACACTAAAAATTTCTTTACGCAAACATTTTCAATCGTCTTAAACAATCTTCAGGAAATTACATTTTAAAAGAATGAATGCCAAACAATTTTTCTAGAACATATTTGATGTATGGAATGCATTTGATTGAACAAATTTTAATTTTGAAAGCTCATATCGATGATAAAAAATAACTCAATAAATAAATACATAAATAAATAAGTATATACTAGGGTTTCTCATTTCCCGGTCTTTTGCTTGTCCCGGGATCCCGGGATAAAAGTGAACTGTTTCCCGGGATCCCGGGAAATNAGTAACCATATTTGTTAATCTTTTCTTTTAATTTAATACTACTTCTGGATTTTATAAAATAATTATAAAGAATTTAATAAGAACTTGTTTTTAATATTTTTGTAAGAACTTAATGCAATTTTAAAGTATTTTTTATTGAATGAAATGTTATATGTATGTAGAATAGAATTTCATTTTAATGGCTTATGGAACAATGGATTTCCTAGAATAATAGATCTTTTCTAGGTCCTGCCAAATTAATGTAATTTTACCTTTTTTACATTAATCTGTAATTCAGAATGATGGATTTTTTATAGCCCCGTCTACTTGAAAAATGTGACATAAACATTGCATTTTTCAATGCTTAAATAATATTTAGGTGAATCAAATTAAATAATAAAAGAGCAAGAAACTAATTGTAATAATATTTGGGTATTTCTGGTACTAAATTTAAAAAAATACACTGCATGTGGAACAATATACATGCATAATCATCACGGTTTACATTGCTAATGTTGCTCCCGTGCATCAACTTCCTCTCGTAACACATTGAATAGTGGCAGGAAGCTACTTTTGGTCCTTCAAGTCTTTCCAAGTCATAATGCCCTTTCTGATGAGTTTTAGCATAAACAAACAGGCTGTACAAGAAACGACATTGTTTATTTCAGATGGTTGTTGTACTCAATGGGCAGAAAAATGGCATCAAAACAAACCAAGATAGATGAAATTTTTTAACAAATTGTGAATCACATGTACTGTACTTTGCCTCTTTTTGTGCTTACAGTATATACAGTTTTTATCGGCTTTGTCATACATGTGTATGGTTTAATGTATGATCTTGTGACATGTGTTTCTGTAGAATAAAGAATAAAAATCTTAAGAGACTGAATAATTTCAAGTACAGTTATTTCTTATAAACAAGAGTTTAAAAACCAGAAATTTTTTGAATAATGGATAATTTCTCCAGGTGTATGGGAAATCCATTGTTTGTGATATAATGATTGTTGGAACAAAGGATGATTTTTGGTGGACCAAGTGATTCGTTAAAACAAGATTCTGCTGTATATACAGACATACACTATGTATTTTGGATTAGAAGCATATTTTGTATTTGTTTATAAGGTATAAGAAGTGATGATTTTTTCTTGAAAAATGCAATAATAGTTTTTTAAAATGATTTTTATCCCAATAAATGTTGCTATGCTACACTTACAATCAAAAATCGAACCTGTACTGGCATGTATCCTATAAAAGATACACGCCAGTACAGGTTCAATTTTTGATTGTAAGTGTAGTAAACTTCTGGTGTTAGTAAAGGGTTGAACAGTATTGCTATGCTAGTTTATAAATTGAAAACAAAATCTGTTATCTAGTTTTGACATTACTATTAGGTCTTTTATTTTAAAAAGTTATATTTCTTGAATTTTTTTTATATACAAAATCAATAGGATAATGCCTTTCCAATAGGAAATGTCTAGCTAGTAGAAATAGAGAGGGAAGTCCCAATCTGAACCTAGCTTAGTGAATGTGTGAAATATTTGACTGTCTTTTATATTACAAATATTTCAATAAACATGTACCACAGCATAATACATGTAGTCAATCTTGTAGTTTTTAAGATCTTTTTCTTAATCACATCTCCCAAAATTTGAGTATTGTTGAACCTTATATTACATGAAGATTAGTCTTGTTTAAAACATACTTGCAAATGTGTACTTTATAGTTATAAAATTTTCCCCAAGGTTAACGTATCATACAGAACAATGAAGGCGATCTTGATATCTAAATTGAATACAAACTTTACAGAAATGTGGCATATGTCTAGGTTTGCGATTGAAAACCTGCACATTGTTGTCTCCATCGTAAGCTCATGATGACCCAACCTTCATCTCCAGGATCATCAGGAAGGAGAGCTGAGTCCATGGCTACAATCCAGAAACTATACAGTAGTCTATAGTGGAAGAGTCTGTAATCACCAAGACTAAGGAAGGCAAGGTAGGTCCAAAGCATGACTAAAAGCATGCTTATCATTTTCTTCGACATTTGTAGGATTGTGCATTGAGAATTTGTCCCATGGCCAGACAGTGAATGTTGAGTTCTACTACAATGTTATAAGGCATCTGAAAGAGGATTTTCATTGCAAAAGATCTCAACTGTGGCATGATGGCAATTGGGTGCTTCACCATAACAATGCTCCTTCTCACACAGTATTGAAAACCTGCACATTTTAGCATGCAGAAAGATCATTGTTGCCCCCAACCTCCATACTTGCTGGATCAGACACCTTATAATTTCTTTTTGTTCAAAAAGACAAAATTCAAGTTGAAGAGTTGCTATTTTGTCACAGTAGAGGACATCCAACATGAATTGCAGATAGTACTTGAAACCCTCCAAGAACAGGATTTCCAGAGAGCATTCCAAGCTTAGCAGAAATGCTGAAATTGGTATTTCAATGCAGCAGGGTGCTATTTTGAAGGTGATGAATATCAAAGTTAAATAAAGTATGTTACTTTCTTTTTTATATACCCAGTATTGGAACTTTTTGATTGCACTTCAAAGATTATACTCAAAAAATTAAACTATTACCATATNAAAAATTTAAAAAAACTAATAGGTAGGTTTAAAATTAATAAATACAAATGTATTCTGACAGTGAATGAGTTAATTATGCTTTCTATTTGCAAAATTCCTCAACCTTAACACAAAATAAGAAAAAAAGTGAATTTTTAAGAAATTTGCGGGATTTCCCGGGATATTTCCCAGGTTAAAAAAACAACCGGGATCCCGGAATCCCGTTTGAGAAACCCTAGTATATACAAATAATATAATAATTAGATTTATTCACTTTTAGTTAAATTCAAATTCAAATTCAAATTTATTAGTGAATTTGTCCAGTTACAAGGGGAATACATTAAATTAAAAACACTACAATCAAAAGATGAACTGAGATAAAATACAATTGTTTATGATATTGGAAATTTTCTGTAACACTTGAATGCATGCTGATTTAACACCATGCATTCAAGTGTTACAGAAAACCTCCAATATCATAAACAATTGTATTTTATCTTGTGTAATTGTATTTTAAGTGTAGACTTGAGGCTCATTTTCTGTTTTGCCGCTGTAATTCTCTGACAGTTTAATATATTTGTTGAAAAGGTTGTATACTCTTGTTATCATAGTTGGACCCATTTGAAATAATTTGTGATTCAGTTCTTCCAGAGATTTACACACAGCCAAAATAGAAATACCAAATTGATCTGTAAGATTTAGA